GGTGGGGTGTTGGTGGTCCTCCAAGGGCTGACAGTGCTGTGGTTGTTCCCTTGGAGGACTCAGTGTGGCAGGGTTGGGGTGACAGCACCCAGGGTTGGGTGTTGGTGGGTCCTCCTACAGTGAGAGTTGCGTGGTTGTTCCCTTGGAGGTCTGAGTGGTGGTGGTGGTGGTGGGAGAACCAATGGGGTTGGGTGTTGATGGTCCTCCTACACTGAGAGCTGTGTGGTTGTTCCCTTGGAGGACCTACTGGGACAGGGTTGGGGTGACAGCACCTGGCAAGGGGTGTTGGTGGTCCTCCAAGGGCTGACAGCTGTGTGGTTGTTTCCTTGGAAGACCCACTGGCAGGGTTGGGGTGACAGCACCTGGGGTTGGGTGTTGGTGGTCCTCCAAGGGCTGACAGCTGTGTGGTTGTTCCCTTGGAGGATCTTCTGTGGTGGGGGTTGGGGTGACACCACTTGGGGTTGGGTGTTGGTGGTCCTCCAACAGTGAGAGCTGTGTGGTTGTTCCCTTGGAGGTCTGAGGGTGGTAGTGGTGGAGGGGGGGGAACCTCCAACCATGGGGTTGGGGTGACAGCACCCGGGGTTGGGTGTTGGTGGTCCTCCAAGGGCTGACAGTGCTGTGGTTGTTCCCTTGGAGGACCCGCTGTGGCAGGGGTTGGGTGTTGGTCCTCCAAGGGCTGACAGTGCTGTTGTTGTTCCCTTGGAGGACTCATTGCAGTGGGGTTGGGGTGACAGCACCCGGCGTTGGGTGTTGGTCCTCCAAGGGCTGACGGTGCGGCGGTGGTTGCGTTGCAGGGGTCGTTGCTGGGGGAGCCGCCCAAGGACTTCAGGATCCCCCGCAATCCCTACCTCAATCTGCGCAGCCTGCTGCCGCCCAGCATCACCGGTCAGCCCCATAGCGCCGCCCCATAGCGCCGCCCCATAGCGCCGCCCCATAGCGCCGCCCCATAGAGCCGCCCCATAGCGCTGCCCCATAGCATCCAATAGCACCGCCCCATAGCGTCTCATAGCGCCGCCCCATAGAGCCCCATAGCACTGCCCCATAGCATCCAATAGCACCGCCCCATAGCGCTGCCCCATAGCGTCCCATAGCACCGCCCCGTAGCGCCGCCCCGTAGCGCCACCCCATAGCGCTGCCCCATAGCATCCAATAGCACCGCCCCATAGCGCT